ACAACCACACATTTCAAACCCACCACACATTTGGAATAGATCTTGAATTATTATTTTTTGAAGCTTCAAGCCCATGTTCAGATGTTACAAGCTCCCTTCACAATCTCAGAAAACATTGCACAACCATTGTGTCACACTGCACAGTGTTGAAAGAAGAGTGAACTACACTTCTTGTATAAAGCTGGTCATTTAACTTCATATCATGAATCTATTTCTTTAAAAGTGTATATTTCAAGTATCATAATCAACATAATGCAACTTGACCTTTATGTGTGCCGCCTGATAGTGTTTGCACGCCAGCTGTTTTCAAAGGCAGCCATGTTTCCCACACGGCCAAACAAATATATAGTAATGACATGCAAAAACACTCCTCTTCATGAAGACACTATAAAGCAAATTTCCCTCAAGGAAGAATCTGTTATGTAATTAGTTATGTAACTGTAATAGTGAGCTAGACTTTTGATGTGACTGAAATAAATCCATTATCAAAACTAGTGAACTAGTGTGCTGTGGCACAACCTTTTTATTGTGTCCCGGCCATCATGAATATTAACTTGTAGTGGAATGTAATTCAATTTATTAGACCATCTAATTCCATGGATTTAGATGCAATTATCCATTTTCGTGCACTGTTTAGTCCAGCGTGTTTTTTTTTCTCTCAGTTGATCCTGCTGAATTAAGATGTTATAGTAAGATTGGTGCCAGCAGAGGGGAAAACAATATACCTTACCCGTCAGAGTGAATGGAGCAATAACATTTATGTTTATTCTTTGAGGGCAAATAAGCAGATTAAACACTTTCACTCCTTTATCCAAGATAAAATAGAGTTTTTACAGCCTATTTATCCATATTTACCTGTGCTGAGGGTGGTCAAACTTTACCTGAACGATGTAGGCTTTGCCACTCTGACCAAACCTCCACATTGGTGCTGGTATAGTGTGCTGGTGATATGATCTGTAACAGCAATATAGGAGGGGTTGCCATGTGGTGCAGAAATTCATGGTCCCCATAACTAAGATGGCCTTTAGTGCCGACATGAGTTTTTCACGTTGAAAGTGATTTTGAGTGAATTAGCTCAGCTGTAGGCATCACCCTTTAATTTACTTCAATCATTCATGTCTCCAGAAATTCATATCTAATGTCTTTGAACTAATTTAGAAACATTAGCAAAAAATCCTAACTGTAATGGGAAACATGGTTAGCTTTATACCCCAAAACAGCTTGTTTGTTAGCATGTTAGCATGCTTACAGATAACTAGCTTTAAGAACTAATGTACCCCAAAACCACAGCCTTACAGAAATACTTGATTAAAACCTTTAAGTTATATTTAACTTTTACTTTTCATTTCTGTGGCAGTTTTTGTTGTTGTTGTTGTTGTTGTTATGGAAGCATTAAACGTATTCTCTTATAAAGCTAATATTTTCAAGGTAAACATGCAAAATATACCCTTTTATTCTGTTGTTTTCTAAGATCAATACCTTCCTTGTAATGTGTATAAGAAATTGTTCAAATAAACTGAATTATTTTTCCTGTGGACGCCCACAGCTCACTCTTTAGCATGATCCACTCTACGGCGGTAACCCCTGACCCCTAAACACCTTGAGTCATGACATTCACAGCCATACTTAGACCAGGAACGTCGTGCACGTTGCTAAAGATCAGAGACTACTGACTCTTGTAGGAACGGATGGATTTATAGCCTACCAACTTAGCAGTTCATGGACACGGTGAATAACCAGCAGTGTGAGAAATGTTTCCAGTGTGGCCACACCCTGACCACTACATCTTTTTTCAGTCCTCACACAGCCCTGGTCCGAGGTATCCTAAACACATACGCTTAAATTTAGACTGGCTCAGGCTGACCACAGACACAGCCTAACCTCCTGAAATCTGACACCCACTGTCTGCTGTTTCTCTCTCTCCTGACTCTGTGGGTAGGTGCGTTTTCACTTTCTAACTTTTGTTCACCGATTTCCTTTGTTGAGCACCCAACCATCTCACACACAAACACCTCAGTCTCTCATAACCTCTCCCTCTATTCTTCGTGCTCGGGGGCAGCCGACTGGAGCTGATTTACTCTGTTTGCACAGAGTTAGAGCTCACAGTTTTGGAGGAAATGAAACGTTAAAGTTACATACTGATACGATTCTTAAAAGCCCTTTCCATTATCACTTTTTTGGACTGACAGAATTCATGCTGTGTTTATCTGAACAATCAAACAATTGTCCTCCCTAAATTAAAAAAAGAAGAAGAAGCTGTGCACATCTTTCTTCTGTTGACAAGCTTACTGCTGGAATCCTGTTTATTCATACTGGAGCATTTCCTTGGTTGTTGAGTGTGTGTCTTCAACTGATTTATTTCAATTTGTATCCAATAAGTAAATAAACAGTTGGTGATTCCATTAATAATAGTGGAGCAGTGAAAAATTTAACAGGAAGGTGGAGCGAGAGAGCAGAGAGAGCAGGTGAAAACACACAGCAAATCTGACCCATTTTCACCTGCTCAACCAGCAAGACATCTCAAAATCTGCTGTCCTTCTGCGCATAATATCTGACAGTTTGATCCTTTCAGTGTTCTGGAAATATAGTTCTATCTGGGGACTGGCCTACAATGGAAACGTTCCACTTTGTTTGACACTTTTAATCACATTCAGTGGCGTATTGTTCTGCTTTCTCAAGTAAACGTTACTTTCTATTGTAGTAAACAGGCTTTAGTTTAAGTTTAGATAGATAGATAGAACTTTATTAATCCCTCGGGTAGGTTCCTCTGGGAAATTCAGTTATATGTTATATAGTTATATATAGTTATACTATGTAGTCAGTTATATGTATATATGTTTTTCTATTGATAAAATGCTAGTTTCTCTAGCTCTGTGCCCATCATTTAAATTTGCTGATAGTTTAATTAATTGATCAATTATTCTTAGCATTAATATGCTTTCAAATTGAAACATGAATATCCAAGTAAGGTCAATCCGATGAGGAAGATTTACTTTTGCCATTCCTCTTCTCAGTTCCTTCTCCTCTGCAGCTTAGTGCTCAATGGCCCATAACAGCTTCCTGATGGCCGGCTATGAACATGATGAGATCACTAGTATCACTGATCTCATCATCTTTTCATTCACACTCACACGAGAAGGGAGAGGGGAGAGCATATGTACAGAGACACTTGAGAGAATTGGAGGAGAGGGTACAGTAACAGTGACAGCCTCAATATGAATGTAGCCGTACAGATGAAGGCCGTATGGCTGTCGAGTGTTTCAGAGAGCTGGACCTGCATTAACGTGTCGTCTGCTACAGTTAAGCTGCACTTTTGTAAACGAGTCAATCATCACACATAAAGCATATTTGTTTTTTGTTTTTCAAGTGTTAGACTCACAGTAAATAAGACATAAATCAGATTTCTTCAGCATTTTAATTTTGTTTGTGTGCATTTTTTGCACCAAAGATGGAGTGATATAGATGCAAGACAAGGAAGCACTAAGCAAGTCCTGCATTTTTATTCTGTTGAAAAACAGTGTTTGTTTTTTTTTAATGAAAGTGAATGACACCTTTACGTGGGCAGTGCCTGCTGGGTGTGGAGAAACAGATGGCTTTGGAGACAGTGGTGCATGTTTTATTAGTAAAGCTCACTGCCCAGTTATGGCATTACAGGAAAAATGGGTGCATTATGCATATCCCTGGTGTCACTGGAGCTTGATGTTTAAGCTACATGTCTGATTGATTCAGACAGTGTGAGTGGGTGAGTGGGAGTGGGATATTCACAGTGAAAATATGCATTCAAATCTATTCGTATGTTTTAAGAATAAATATAATTTGTCATTTTCCATAGCATAGAAGACAATGGATAATTATTTTTACTAAAAAAAAGTAAAGAAATGTCTTGAGACACAGGTCAGTGGCAGGAGTGAATCTGTTTTTGCTTACAGGGAAATCAGTGGGCGTGCACACGCATACACAACACGACTCTCCACAGTTGCACTGCAAAACAAGATGGCCACAATGAAGCAATCCAGACGACCACCAACTCTGAAAACTTTGTCAAATCGGGATTTTTTAGTTGCTGAGTGCAAAAAGGCAACACATGACATCAGCTCAGCTCAGAGAAACAAACACGATTCAAGAACATTTCTCATCTCTGGCTGAACTGGACCAATCCCAAACTGTTACACAACAGTCTGGACAACAGGCTCGGACTGTGATTACTCATGTCATCGTTGGGAAATTAATAGAGACCTACTTTCTGCTCATAAGGGATAGAAAACATAAAAGTGTTTATCCTGATATCTGATATCTACTGCTTAAATGAAGCCAGAAAGCTCTTTCTTTTTTCACTCAGCCGCTGAGTCCTCCTGTAATTCCCGTGTCCTCGTCACCACTACCTTTCAAGACTCTAAAACAGAAAATCTGTGACAAAAGCAAGAATAATTATGCAATTATGGCTGCACATTCTTGTGGTGTTCTGCTAGCTCTTCTGTGTTTTTAATCACAGTTTGGCAGCAGTTAAACGTGACCTTTTATTTCAGGAAATAGCTGAAAGTTCTTATCAGCAGCAAACCATTAAGATATACAATGCACTGTAAGTCTCAATGGTTTGTGTTGAAAGCTGTATGAACATGGCTAACTAAGAGTGAATAGCAGCAGTCCTGCATCTGTCTGGTTTCTGCAGTCCTATAAATACTGTAGGCCCAGTAGGAGGAACAGCGGTAGGTCCAGCAGGTCAAGTTGCCACATATGAGCAATCCCATATGTTTTGTAACACTCTGCATCCTGCCAGTTGGGAGAGATTTTAGTGGCAGCAGAAAGCAGTACAGTTGGAGATGACAGCAAAAACAGGTGGGAGCCAAGCCAGCTCCATCTCACTTCTTACATCAGCATGTCAGAATCCCTTTAAGTAAGTCACCAGTCGGTCAAGGAGATTCTTCCTGACTGTGGAAGTGCTCCACTTCAGATCAACCCCACCTTAAAAAGACGCCCATTGTGTCTGTCTGTGCTTGCAGGCGGCCTGGCTGAGGATTCCTCCAATCTGTGAACCGATGGGCATGTGACATCACCCCCTCCGCCCCATCTCTCCCTCCTTACATCAGTGCATCTGGCCAATCAGTGCTCAAGGAGATCCGGTCACATGAGAATCCCCCCCAGTCTTGGTTACCATGACAACGAGCACTGGTCCAGGCAGCATCTTGCTGTGGTGAGAAAAGAGGAGGTGGAGGGGGGAAAGAAGGCAGGAGGAGAGGCAGAAAGAGAAGAGGAAAGGGAGGAAGGAAGATAGAAAGACAACAATTCCATTCTGAGGAATAGCTTTTGGATCTTCAGCTTGTTCCTGTCTTCATTCAGTACAGTGAGTACTTCACCTTTATTACCCACGTTCACCTGCTGCACTGCAAGCAAATGAAAGGAGATCTGATGCAGTCCTTTGTCATCAGAATTGGATAATGTGACATGGCAGATGCCTTTGATGATTTCAGGGATGGCATCAGTAATCCCTTTGTGATGTGGAGAATGCATGCAGCCTGCCTCACCTTAGGTAGACAACCCTTTGTCTGTATGTTTACTCAAAGGCTGATGACAGACCTTAACAGCAAACAGAGCCATGGTGGGAACCAGGGTGCTCAGCGCAATTAGAGGCAATTTCATAACATGGTGAAACTCCTTCTGATGTATTATGCAGCGAGTCATTCAGCCTCCAACCGCTAATCTTCGTCCTGTCTTTCTTTTTTTTTTCCATTTCTACTCCTCCAAGTCTGTCTTCCTTTTTCTATCTTGCTCATTTCCATACAATTAGATCTGGCTGACACTCTGTGCCCCACCGGGGTTTTGTATAATTAGCAAATCCATGGAAATTTCAGCTGGGACAGTTTGCTCTGATTGCAGGACTTGTATGCTATGTAAAATGTCCTTGTGGTGGTAGAAACAGAGAGGTTTTCTAGCTGCAAGTTAATTCATGGTCAAAATGTTGCTGTTTTACATTACCTTACATTTGAACCTCATACATAATTGCAAAGCATGCAAGAGAGATGATGCAGAGTCACTAATAAAGTGCTAAAGATCTAATTCATGTCCTGCTATAGAAGGAAGCGTGATGTTTGCAGGCTGTTGGATTTTTTTGCATTTTATTTGTGTGTGTGTGGCTTGTAAGAGTAACCTTAAAGATTGTTTGGAAAGGGACTTCTAATTTTTTTTGTTATTCCCATTATGTTTTGACAGAACAGTTATACAACAACATTGTGCCTGCAAACTCATTACATGTGACTTAACCGTGATAATCTGGTTAGTATATGGCATTATACGATTCTGACTTCTGCCCGTTTATCTCTCCTTGTATATTTGTACTTGATATCCCTGTATCTTATCTTCTCCCTGCGTAGGTGGGATCAATATTTTTCAGTATTTTTTTAGTATATGCACCATATCATTTATTAAATTGTGCTTATAAAGCTATTTTAAACAAAATAAATCAAACTAATACTGAACTACCAACTTGGCCAAAGTTGTAGTTTATATTATACGTGCCTTGCGTCTCAGCCGCACTATCTGTCCTGTGACATGAGCTGATGGGAAGGTGTTTGCTTGCTAGCTGCGGTAATGTGCCCAGAGCTGATAGCAGCTGAAGGGTTTCTCCTTTCAACATGGCCTAAGAATGTAGCACCTTACAGAGAATATAGATAATCTTCTTCTGATCCAAGTGGATGAACTATATCTCAAGCTGCCTCATCTTTGAGACTGGACTGTTTTTGCTTGCCTGTGATCCAGTTAATGAACCAGTAATGGCTTTGAATGATTGGTTAATAAAAACCTTTCTTTTGACAAGGTTCAGTTGCAGTCTGGATTGCAGAACCATTTTTTTGTAGTCTGGGGAGAAGTCCATGTTGTGACTGAAACAAAAGCAGTGTATCAGTAATGCACATTTCTGTCTGCGGGAAGCAGCCAAACACTCACTAAACTGTTTCTTGCCATTTGAAAGTGATTGTTTAAAACTTATAATTTTCCCAAATTGTAATCTTATGGTTTTCCACTGAGGCAAACTTCAGCCCATTTGAAACCACTGCACAATCTGGGTCTATACTTTGTTAGAAAACAAACAAATGAGCTTTGGAATTTCCTTTGGAATCATATTTTCAAGATTTCCTACAGTGGAAAAGAAGGAGACTTGCAGATAGACACAGCAGATACACACGTTTCAGGAATGTTAACCATTATTTTATGTCATGCGCCTCATCACTCCAGACTACCTAGAGCCTACTTCTTTTACTGTCCATATAAAACTCCCGGGTGCCAGAGTGCACATCTGAATCACGCCTCTATATTCTGGTAACACACCTGTGCGGATGATGCCCAGTAAACAATTTTACAGTAACCCATTTTTGTGCAGGCTAATTATTACTAGCAATAATTTATCAATTTTTACCCTACAGGTTAAGTCAATATTTATATACACAATCGCACACAAGGCAAACGGGAAATATTTTACAGTAACTGAAAGATAACAAAATAAATACAAATAAAGTTTGACTGTTCGGATATCACGTTAAATGAAACCCCGCCGGTATCCCCGGTTGTCTAAACCAGTTTTAATGTTTCGGCCAAGTTTTCGACCGCATGTGAACGCAACACTGCTGCTGCGTCACGTTGGAAGAGACCAATTGGATTAAACTGAGTTAAAACACGCTGGCTCACCTCAAGAAAGAGCGGGGGGTGCTCACCTTGTACTGTTAGAGAGATTGAAGTACAAGCTAGCACAGCGTCGTCTCTTTGCCGTATGCAGTCTATTACTGCTTTGTACTCTTATTTCAACATGTAATACAGGAACATTATTTGTTCGCTCAAATTTCAGGAACATACTGTTATTTACAGAGCTGCACGTCCCCCCCTCCTTGTCGGCGTTATGGTTTCGACGGATCCCTCTCAGTCAGTTTCAAGTTGCGCCTTCTCGTCTGCCGTGTGGCTCTGTGCTCTATATCCCTACCGAGCGGAAAAAAATAGACATTCCCGTTTTGGCTTCACTGTGAAATTTGGATTTACACAGGAAAATGGATTTAATAGAATTATTGACGATTGGATTATAATCACGTGGCATTCAGAGGTAAGAAGACACGCTTCTCTCAGTCGTTTGACAAACAGTGGGTTTTTTTAACGTTACCGTGGGATCCGCGGGCTGCACCTTCGCACGTTTGGGAATGTCACGCTCTGTTGGTTTTAATAGAGCAGCTAACGATTTAACTGCATTGGCCTGTTATAAATCTCAATTTTCTTTGTGCAAAGAACATGCACATTACTGGTGCATCACAGAGGAAAACCTCGGTTCTAATGGGACAGCCTGTGGAATGTAGTGGTGCTATTAGTCACTTCCACACAAATATATCCATCAGCACAGAATGCAGTCCAAGCGCGACAGTTTACCTGATGAGTCGGCAAAGAAACTCAATAATATTTGTACATCACTGAGTCAGAGGTGACATTTGAGAAATGTCGTTTTAGGAGCTTGTTTCGGGTAACAACACAGCCGCAACACACCTGGAAAGAAGTCATGTTAGGTAAACGTTAATGCACACACTTTGTATTCGCAAAAGATGTTGTTACAGGAGGCTGGTATGGAGCTGGCTGCTGCTTGCTCTTGTGTAAATCTCATGCAGTCCTATACATACCGTAAGTTTAGATATTTTGCAAGTGCTTTTGTTGTCTCTCAGTACCTGTTTTGTGGCCAAGTGTAAAGGCTTTGACGTTAAATCAAAGTCTCCTCCTAGACTTCAGTGATGAATGCTTCCACATGTCATTTTTGTTTTTGTTGATTAACTGTATGCTGACATTAACATTAATATCATATTACTCCAGCTGGCTCAGCTGGGCCCATACAGCAGCAGCAGCCACTCTGTGGTTAAATGGAGCAGAAGGGTCCTGACCTGACAGGCCAAAGTCTCTTATCCTGTCTCATCTGAGTGATTGGATTTGTTCTATTGATTAGTTATACTGAACCTTTGTTTCTCGCATTTCAAGAGCTTCCTTCCTACACTGTATCTTTAAAGACTTTGTACATCTACTCTGAAGCCACAGGGTGCAGTTGGGTAGGTGGGTGTTAACTGGGCTGTGCTGTATCTGTTCGCACCTTTGTGTTATCATAACTAGCAGTTTCCCTCCTAGATCAGGATGTGGAGCAGAGTAGGAAAGGATGTTTGCTTGGTGGCTGACTGCAGTTTGGCTTTCTGAAGAGAAGCCTGACACAATCGTTCAAGTATAGTCAAGCATGCAGCGTCCTCTGCAAAACTAAGCTGTGCTACAGTGGCAAACTTTAAGTTTATATTTCTGTGTTATAAACACAACCCACAAAGCATCCAAAATACATCAAAACACAGCAGCATGAATTTGATAAGGCAAGCTTTTTAATGTTCATGTTCGTGAGGGAGGGGAAGATAAAGCTGACTCACTTTGCCCCCTTACTGACCGTCGCTCAGAGAGTTAAGGAAACTAGCTCTGACTCTGACCCCCTGTGAACCTGCAGTATATTGTGGAAATGGGAAAAGTGCTGGATGAAAGGACGGACGGTAGGAAGGAAGGAAGTCCTGTGAAGGCAACTCGTGCTGTGTCATGAGCAGCTGGATGTATCCCAGCTATCTGGTTCATTTGCCCGATGGCTTGCTGATGTGGCTGACTCATCTGAGACTTGGTGCCCCCCCCTCCATCCCACCACAATATTAAACTACTATGCGTGTTATAGCAAGTCTAGCCTGCTGTAAGTCCTTAAAAGGAGAGACAGCTGTAACTAGAAGGAATGTTGTGAACTGCTTAAGGTTCCATTTCTTTAGCAAACACTCATTGCAAGATAATGAGAGAATATCCAGTTACCATTTCAACTTTGTACTTAGGTGGATGAGATTGTGATGATGAGTATATTCCTGTGATGATGAGTATATTCCTGTGTTGACTGCTGAGTCACACGGGTGTAATAAAACCAAACAGCCTGGATGATGCCATATTGTTTCCACCCTTTAAGGTTTGGAGATCCCACAAAAAGTCTGAGATAGTTGCTTTATCTGCCACCGTTCTTTTTTCCCCCCCATAGTAAGAAAAATAAATGAGATTTGGTGGAATAATCACTAGTCAAAGCTGCATGACTTCCAGCATGGCTCCTGTCCATTTGCTTTTGTGATTTCCCACAGCTCTAGATTAAAGACTTACTTCCTGGCTGTTTCTTCCACCTTAGAGATCAGAAGTGGGTCAGTATGACAAATGCATTCCAGAGGCTACGCCAGTGATACATGTTGCCAGTCTGCTGCTCCTTGAACTCTATAAAGGCTACTATCTTACGTCAGCCAGTGCAGCAGAAACTCTGATCCTACACATCTT